TTTGTAGCTGATTTTTTATGTGGCAAAGGGAAGAGGGACTAGAAAAATGCCTTGGAGGGAGGGCGAGAGAGTAGTGGAGAGGATGTGTATTCCCCTTGACTCAGAAGAGAAAAGTGGTAATTTTCCTCCCCTTACTATGAATGCAGTTGTAATTTTTGAAGTTGGTTTCCTGCAAAACATATGTATTTAAGGAATATTTCTTATATGTCCAAAACCTAGAATTTACTAGGCCTGTGGCAAGTACTTCAAGGGAACTTGTGGTTTTCTGCCAAAGCTGTGTTTGGAGGACTGAGGTAGAAAAAGCGCCAGCCGGGAAGAACTCTGCTAAAATGTCTGACACCACACCCACACAAGGCCAGGCACCTCTCTGAAGAGAGTCCTTTTACTTTGTTACAGAAACAGAGTTCCTGTACAACAGTTTCTTTACATTGTCAAAAAAATTTAATCAATTCAGATTAACATGATAAAGTAGTTTGGCAAGGAAAAATTCCCTACTTTTCTAAAAATATAAAAATGTTGGATGATAACTTAAAAAATAAAAAAAAATGATTTTTTGCCAAGCTTGAAAGTAAGAAAGGGGAATTCCCAGATTCTAGAAAAAGGAAAATAGAAAACAGAGCATTAGAAGAAGCTGAAGACAAGAATATACTGAAGCCCTTTGGCTTATGGGGGTACTGGGGGTGGATACCTGCTGTAAGACTGAAAGATTAAAATTTATTCACATGTAACAATATGGATGAATCTCAAGAATAATAAGCACAATAACTATGCTAAGTAAAAAAGCAATACCAAAAAGAATATGTACTGATGAATCCATTTATAGAAAACTTCAGAAAATGCAAACTAATTTATAGTTACCGCAGATCAGTGGTTGCCAGAGGATGTAGGAGATGAGGCAGAACAGACAAAGGGGTACAAGAACCCTTTTTGGGATGATGGATATGTTCTCTATTTTGGCCACAGTGATGGTTTTACAGGTGTGTACATGTTAAAACCTGTTAAATTTTACATTTCAAATATGTATGGTTTGTTTCATGCCAATTATACCTAATGAATCTGTTAAAAAGAAATGAATAAAAAATCCAAAGAAGCCCAACATCGTCTCCTTCTACTTAAATTTATACAATTTATTTGTTAAATGAAATTGGTGATCTGTCCTGTAGAATATCCTACATTCTGGGTTTTATTGATTGCAACAGAAGAATCCTTATTTTGTAGAGCTATATATTAAAGTATTTGTGGGTGGAGTTCAAGTGGGGGCAGAGTAGGGAAGAGGTGATTACATTGATATTTTGCAAACTTGGTGACTGGCACAAGAGGGCTCATTATATTCTACTTTTTATGTGCTTAAAAAATTTTAATAATAAAAAATTAAAATAAGTCCTGGATCCTACCCCAGAGGTACTGAATTTCTTAGGGGTTGGATAAAGAGGTATGGATTTTAAAGTAATCTCCGAAACTGATTTTGTTATTCACTATATATAGTAGATCACTGTCCCAGATCAAAGAAAAGAACTCTGATGGTGGGATAAATTTCAGACACTACAGGGATAGAAAACAGTTTTTGGCAGGTATCTTTTTTATTTCTTATCAAATTATAAAAACAATAGGCTAGCTATTCTTCTTGAAAAGACATTTCTGGCTTTGCCTACCTCTTCCATAAGGAAGTTCCCTGATCCCCATATACGTACTGTTTGAGTATATTCTTATACAGTCTTAAAAGGGTAATAGTAATATAGGTTCCGTTTATCATACAGGTTTAGTATGATTTGTCTAGATTACTCTGAATTTTAGCCCAACATAGAGTGAATTAGAAAAGTTTTTTTTCCTATGTTTCTAGCCTCATTTCTATTACATCTTTTGCTCCCTCTGCGATGTCCTCCTTCCTCAGGAAGTCAGTGTCATGTTTTCCAGTCTTTCCACTTCCAAAAAATGACTCAGAAACCATGATAAACTCATAAAAGATAACAGATTAGAGTCATGAAGTGCTCTTCCCAGTGAAATTGGTTTAAATAAAGCACAGATTTAAATCAAAGTTAAAAAAAAAAGTATAGTGATGATTGCATTAAATAACCTAGTCAGGGAAGGATTTTGGGGGAGTGGTCAAGTTCCTTTAAGATGCTCTGAAATCTTACCAAACAGGTTGTTACCATCCCATTGGATATGTACTTTGGAAGAGTCAGATAATACAATGGTAGCTCTTTCTTCTGTAACATGCATAGAAAAATATAGCTTTGGTTGCAAATAATAAAAAGCCAAACTCAAACTTTCTTAAACTGCTAGGAAAATTTATTGATTCAGAAAAGTTACTAAACACAGAGGAAGGCTTCAAACTGGGTTTGAGTTCTTCCATTATGTGTCAGTGTCACTCTCAGGCTGGCTTCCCTCATGTTAGCAAAGTGCCTGCAGGAAGGACTCACATTCACCCCTCAGACCAGCCAGAGTGGGAAAGAGAACATTCTTTATTTCCTAACACAGAATCTGGCCTTCCATATGATTGGACCAATTTAGAGCTGTGCCAGTGCCTAACCATGAACACGGAGTCAGTTGAGGATGAAAAAAGGCTGCTTATGGTAAAATAGGGCCCACACCTGGAGCTGAAGATGGGCCTAACTCAACTCATTTCCTTGGCTGTATACAATTGCAGAGAGGTGAAAATGGATGGTAGGGAATCAACCAGTAATGCCTACTGTAAAAGCAATATTATATTCTGTTAAATACCACAATTTAAACTCTCATTATTGTCCAATGTCTAACTTGTTTACAGTTTTTTATGTTAAGCTATTATATATTGAGAGTTGCAGACCTAAACGAGGGAAACAAAATAGTGTAGGAAATGATATGGAATGCAGAGACAAAACAGAACGTATGTCCTAAAAATGATTGTTGTTGCCTGAGAATGTAAGTCAATTGTTATGAGATCTTCTACTTTTTATTGATTTTAACTTTTTCCATTTTTAAAAGAGAAGCCCAAAATGCATGTGAAATCTGCTTTTTTAACTTTGACTTTTGTTTTGTTTTGTTTTTAAACAAGTATCATGCAGGACAAATAAGTTTGTGTGTTAGATCTGAAACTGGTCCACCAGTTTTTGTCACATCATGAATCATGTTGAAATATTCTGTAACACCTTCTCCCAAAGTGAGACCTTTAGTTCACAGATCAGGGCTCCTAGGACACACTTAATGCAAAGGAAGCCTCAGTGGAGGGAGAAGTGAGCAGCATTATGAGAAGCTTTGTTATGAATTCATTGACATAAGGTTAGAATTGTTTTCCCTGTGATGAGGATGTATCTGTATCGAATCACATTCATTGTCTTATATTTTTTTTAAAAGAGAGAGTGAGAGAGAGGGAGAGAGAGAGAGAATTTTAATATTTATTTTTTAGTATTTGGCGGACACCACATCTTTGCTTGTATGTGGTGCTGAGGATCGAACCTGTGCTGCTCGCATGCCAGGAGAGCGTGCTACGGCTTGAGCCACATCCCCAGCCCACATTCATTGTCTTATACTTAAATTTTCTCATGCCTTGTCTCTTATCTAGGATCTACTTTGAAGAAAAAGTTCAGGTTTACAGAACGATCCCTGGTGTGATATGTGGCCAAGGGACAGGGTTTTTATTTTCTTTCTGGCAAGCTGGTACATGGATTGATCTTACCACATGCTCCACTTAAATAGGAGAACTAACTGGAAACAGTCAATGGCGGTCACTATTATTATTTTTAAAGGCATAAGGAACTGAATTTGGGGAACACTAAATTTGTTTTGGACTCTCCATCATAAAAAATTTTTATGCTTTTTTTTTTGGCTAAATTTCTTATTGAATGCAGATAATTATTTCAGCATTGTCCTTTTTGTCAAAAAGCTCTGCTTTTGTGAGAAAATATCAGAAGGCAGAAATTGTGGCTTTTCCATTTGTTGATTTCCTCATGGTGCCCAGTGTTTTTTTATTGTACTTTATTTAGTAGAGCCTTAGCACCTACTTGTTGAATATTTATAAATAGAACATGTGTGTTGTTGTGTGTGGTGACTGACCCATGCATGTAATTCCAGCAGTTTGGAAGGTGGAGTCAGAAGGATCACAAGTTAGAGGTTAGCCTGTGCAATTTAGTGAGACCCTTCTTAGAAATAAATTAAAAATAAAATAAAATGGTTTGGGGGTGTAGTTCGGTGGTAGAGTGCCTCTGGTTTCAATTCTTAGTACTTGAAGAAAACTGAAACTAAATTTGTTTCAGGAAGTCAACAGGTAGTTTGCATAATTTTAAATTTTAATCCTAACTTTATTAAGTATCACTGTTAGCTTTTCATTGCTGTGACCAAAATACCTGACAAGAACAACTTAGAGGAGGAAAAGTTTATTTTGGGGTCACAGTTTCAGAGGTTCAGTCATGTCAGCCAACTCTATGGCTTGGGTGTGAGAGTGAGAGAGAGAGAAAGAGAGAGAAAGGAAGATACAGTCTTAGGCCCTCAGTGATCTACTTCTTTTAGCCACACCCTATCTGCCTATAGTTACCACACAGCAGTCCATTTATTAATCCATCAAATAGATTAATCCACTCATGAGACTACAGTTCTCATAATCGAATCCTTTTGCTTCTGAACATTTCTACATTGCCTAACACGTGAGCTCTTTGGAGGACATTTTTAGATCCAAACCACAACAATCACCAGCACTACCAGCATTCATTGAGTTAGGCTCAAGGCTAGGAAGGCTCTGGGAATACAGAGCTTAATAAAATGCCCTCTGGGAAGAAGTCCAGCAGGCAGGGAAAACACAAAATAGTTGGAACACTCTTGATATGTCCCAGCACCTTCAGAAATAAACCTTAGGTAAACAGGTAAAAAGAAACTTGGGATTAGATGGCCCTTTGGACAAATGTCACATTTCTTAGTAGCTTCTGGATCTGTATGGAGAAAGAAGGGCTTGGGAATTGAAGTGGGAGAGAATGGAGCATTTTAAACTAAAGAAGTCATCCTAGAGCCGAAATCACTGGACACAATTATTCCTTGCTGCACTATATTCACTTTTATTTACAGTTCTCATAATCCAATCCTTTCGCCTCTGAACATTTCTCCATTGCCTAACACATGAGCTCTTTGGAGTCACATTTATTGAACACTTCCTATCAGTCAGGCGTGATCCATCGTGGAAAATACTCAAGGGTTCTTCTGGGGGACAAAATATTGTACAGATCAACCGAAATAAGCTTGACGATGTAAGTGTCACAAATCTACAGGAAAAAAAAAAGTGCCAAAGAGGTTCAGAAAATGTACAGGTCATTTTTGGCTGTTCAATCTAGGAAGAATATTGACAGTTTAAGGATCAATCGATACATCTGTGGCGAAAAAGAGTTGGCTTGTTTTTATCTCTATTTTTTTTTTTTTTTTGTACTCCAAGACCTATTACCCCAAAGGACGAAAAGGTGCAACCGAGGGTACCTTGTGTCCACTCATATACGGGCACTATGGTGCTCAGCGCCGTTCATTCCCGCAGGTTACTTCCCGAGTTCCTCAGAACCAACCAACAGGGGGACGCTTCAGGTGCACACAAACCTTGAAAGGAGGACGGAAAAGAGCGACTGGTGCAAAGTTTGCTCTCTGAGGTGACTTCTCTGAAGATTAGTGGGAACTATGTAAACCAGGCTTAAGAGCAAGAATATAATCTTCTCCGGAAGGATTAATCTTAGAGTTCAGTCCACCTTGCTCGGGCCGTTCGCAGGCACCGGTCCCCTCCCGGGTTCCACGCGCCTTTGCGCGTCCCGGCTCCTTCAACTCTGGTACTGTCAGGTCGCGGCTCCGCGGGCCCCGGCTCCAATGCAGCCCAGCGGGG